TTTTTGCATGGAAATATGTTTTTTTTTTTATTGTAGGCCTGTAATTCTTAGGAATAACTCACTGAAATCTGTCCGAACAAGAGTCTAGTAAACATCCCAGGTATGTTAAAATTTGAAACACTAAATCATAAATTATAATTTAATAAATAATCATAAAAAATAATAATATAATAATCATTTTAATTCAATAATGTAATCAAACCAAAAACACTGAAATTTGAAATATAGCACCAAGTTCGCACATCACTGATTTTAGTCATAAAATCGTTTTCAGTGTCTGATGATGAATTTCCCCACAAATCATTATCACTCAATTCTGCAAGTGGTTCTAATTTACTATCACTGTTCTTTAGCTGGTCTAAAACCGCTTTTGACCTAAAGGGACGCTTTTTGGACGCCAAGGACGTTTTTCAGTTTCTTGGCAGAAAGAACAGTAAAAATGCAGGCATTGCACCGGACAAAGCACTAGGGACAAAATGTATGTGAAATGCTTTGATACAGTAATGTTTTACTGTGTGATTTTAGTGTATTTAGTAAATTGTCACTTTTTAAAATTTTTAAATTTCCCGCCGGTTACATCCCAATACGTCCCGACGTTGCAGGAACCGGAACCCGGAAGACGGATGCTGGCATCGGCTGGAGAAGATGGCTGGGGATGCTGCAGGAGGGACATCGCGGGAGCAAAGGATAAGGTAAGTGATCAAGGGATCCCGGAGCACCGCTGCAGGGTAATCCCGAGTGTAGCTCGGGGTTACCGTTTGTGGTGCTGAAACTGTACCCCGAGCTACACTCGGGAATACCTCTAGGGAGGTTAAAAATGACACTAAAATGATAAGTCTGGTGCAAAGCATTGCAAAGTTATTTACAAATAAAATACTTTTTTTTTCAATTTTGAAAATATTAATGAACAAAACACACAAAAGTTTATATGTTAATGGTTAATAAAATAGAAACAAACAAAAAAATCATCAGGAAAATAATCAATGAATGGAGGAGAATAGGGAGTTAATTAGGGCGGATTAGAGTGCACTAAGGGTTATTAAGGAGCTAAACAGTGGAAATTTTTTTATCAAACTTTACTTGCCAGGTTACCCTCCAGAGAATTTACCCCCCCCCCCCCCCTTTCCTGACCAAGCCATGTTTTGCGTTACGGCGCTGCGTTATACTGACAATTGTGCGTTCATGCAACGCTGCACCCAAATTACATTTTTTCTTTTTTGCGCTATAAAAAAAAAATTAAAAAATTTTGAAAAATAAAAACAGTATTTTTTTACTTTTTGCTATTAAACATGTCCAGTAAAATAATTTTAAAAATGAAATGTCATCATAAATTTAGGCCAAAATGTATTCTGCTACGTCTTTGCTAAAAAAAAATCCCAATATGTGTAAATTAATTGGTTTATGTGAAAGTTATAGCGTTTACAAATGACGGTATATATACTGGGATTTTTTGGTTTTTATTTTTACTAGTAATGGTGGCAATCAGCGACTTATAGCAGGACTGTGGGACTGCGGTGGGCATTCTGAAACTGGGGGGAACTGACTTGGTGTCACTGACATCCCCAGTGACACCAATACAGTGATTAGTGCTAATAAAAAGCACTGACACTGTACTATTGGCACTGGGCAGGAAGGGGTTAACATGTGGGATGATCAAAGGGTTAACTGTGTGCTGTTTTGCATACTGGGCTGTGTTTGTGCTTCACTGTAAGCACACTGCTTTGTATGGCTCTGCTATGCACAGCCATGCAAAGCAGTGTGCAGGAGCTGACAGGGGAGAGAACTATTTTGTTTACAAACAGTTCTCCCCCCCGTCGGAGATGTTCGTCATGCCCCCTGCCTGGAAATGCAGAATTACGTGTATATATATATATATATATATATATATATATATATATATATATATATACACGTGATTTTGTGCACCCATGCCGCCCTGTTGCAGTACTTCTGCTATAGGGCGGACCGGAGGTGGTTAACTGACATCATCTGCGGATTGAAGTTCATCCCTTTGCTCTGCAGATGAATGAACCCTGTTACTTTGTATCTTTCTGATTCCTGTCGCAGGCCTGGTTCACACTAGTGTGATTTCAAATGCCACTTGAGTCACTCAGAATCGCATGACAATGTAAATCACATTGTTTTCGATAGTACCTATTCACATCAATGCAGCACAGAAGGTGCAGTTCTGGAATAGGGTCCTATACCGCTTTAATGTGATTCCAGCATGATTTTTTTTCCCATACGCTTCAACAGAAAACCACCAAAAATGCATCTTCATGTGATTTAATGCTTTTTTTTATGCATTTTGATTCTGTTTCAGTGCTGTTTAATTTACTTTCCTCCTCCCAAGCACATCCCTCCTCAAAGAAATCTAATGAGGATAAGTATATGTAGATACCTTTTTATTGATATGTGTGTGTAAGTGAAAAACCTTTCCTTATGTACATATCATTATACGTGACCCAGAACTGGTCTCTCTCTTCCCTATTTGCAATCACTGGATGAATCCAGAATGCTTTCTGTTTCTCTGCACCTTCTCTTCTTCAATCAACACTGTGGCAGCAGTTACGACTGCTGCTATGATCAATGACAGAGAGGACATGACTGTTTAACCAACACACAACATAGACAAAGCTGTAAAAAGGAAGATGGCAGCTTTAATTTATATCAAAGCAGATATACTTAGAATTGACCAAAGCCAAAAATGCAGAGGCATGAAAAATGCATCAAAATCTAACAAAGTTGCACTTCATATTAGCACTGTAAAATCTGATGAAATCACAGCCACAACACTGTGAACCTAGAGTCAGATAGTATTTTGGGTTATTGTAAACAGCAGCAGCCGGGAGAGCTGTTCTGTGTACACAGCAATCCCAGCTTTGATTAATTATAGCCGAATATTGCTGTGTAGTGGTAGGGGGGTCATGGCTGCAGGGCAAAGGGACTGGATATGCTACACACGTCCTGTGTACTATGATGACATTTTTGGGCATTTGTAGCAAGTCCAAAGTCTTTAACTAGTTAAAGTCATATAAAAACCAATATGTTCTTTGGTCTGTTATGAAATAAGTTTGATGATCCTTAGGCAAATATAAAATGGTCATTGCCATTTCAAAAATTGAACATGAAGGTTTTAAGTTCACAGAGAAAATCTGGAATGCTGATATTGGAGCTGTTGACCTGGAACAAAATTAGCATTGATCAGTATATACTGTGTCAATTGACTTCCTATAGGATATCCAGAATGACACCATACTCTCTGCAGATTGCTTGTCAAGCGTCTGTGCATGGCTCGAACAATTGGCTGTCAACCTTAAAGTACTCTGTATTGTGTAAAAATCATGTTCGCCCTTGGTCCAAGCCATCCTTTAGACAAAACTTCTTAAGGAAAGCCTGACCCTCAGGGAATGCATCTTATACAACCAGCAATTTACTTCACTTAGCATGCATATTCATGTGGCTAAAATAAAGCTTTGGAAGTCCAACTACATTGAAGCATTTTGTTCCCGCTGTTAGGATACAGTGTTTCGGTGGGGAGGATTCTTCCATCTACCTCACTTGTGTTGGATGTGGGAATTCTTTCATATTTTTGCTCAGCCTGCCATGTAACTGTGTATACCCAGCTCAATTCTGAATGACATGAGCCCAAATCCCATCAACACAGGACCTTTTTGTGGAAAAACCCAAAGTACCTGGAAGAAGTGCACACAAACAGTGAGAATATACAAGTTTCATGCAGATAAGGTCCTGGTGGGTCACCCTTAATGCTAACCTCTTTAATACTGCACTGCACTAAATTAACAGATTAAGTTACATTAAAGTGATTTTAAAGGCAATAATAAAGAGAAAAAAACAACATATCATACTTACCTGCTCTGTGCAGTGGTTTTGCACAGCACAGCCCCAATCCTCCTCTTCTTGGGTCCTCTGCCAGTGCTTCTGGCCCTTCCCTCTTGCTGAGTGCCCCCACAGCAAGCAGCCTATTATGGGAGCACCTGAGCAGGCTCACACCCAAGCTGCTGCCCTATGCGTCCATTCACACACAGCCCCCACTAGGCCCCACCCCTTTTCTCTCCTCATTGGCTCACTGGCTGTGATTGACATCAGTGGGAGCCAATAGCTCCCATTGCTGTCCCAGCCAATGAGGAGGGAGAGTCTCTGGTGAGCCAATGCTCTTGTGCACATCGCTGGATCTCGATGTGGCTCAGGTAAGTATTGGAGGGGCTGCTGCACACAGAATGCGAAACACCTTGAACCTTTACAACCACTTTAAGTAATATAGTCTCAATCAAATAAGTACATAGCAAATGGCTACTTGTGTGCACATATCCACTTGTCATTACTGTATATTATGCCTCTGTTAACTTATGTTTTTCAGGCATAACCCCCAGCTATTTTCTAGCATTTCTTAGCTTCAGAATGTTCATAAATGCATTTCTTTATTATTACGGATCATACATTGCATCCTATTTATTGTTTTTTGGTAAGCAATTATTTATGGAACTCAAAAACACTCTCATCTATAAATAGAACACATAGCAAATCAATAACTTCTCTTGTTGTCTTCATTAAAATTAATCATCAATTACCATGAGCCTCTGTACGTTTTCAAGGTCAACCTTCTCGTGGCAAATTGATTTACATATACACAGCATTCTGAGCCGCCTACTAGATCAGAGAACATGTAGCATTACTAACATAGTAGAGATTGCAGAAGGATTAATATGCTAAATGGATACTTAATAGATGGATTGGAGATGTTTCCCACACTTGCTATCACACATTCCAGAATGTTATATGGTTTTTGGCTTTTACATAATACACAGCCTGTGCTCTACTGCTAAAAATAATTTAGCTTTTTTCTTATATGAATGGGTTAGTTTGTTTTTTTCTAACTAGTGTTAAGGCAATTTGTGCGTTCCAATATTTTTTTTTTAGTGCCTCCACATGTATTATCGTTTAGAATGGAGAGGTTGCAGGACAGCACACTTTACTAGAATGCTCAGTTCCCCCCACCAAGCACGACAGGTGGTTTTATTCTTGCTGTGGCCAGAAAGTACCAGCCGCAGCATGTAAACACCCTGATCTCTGCCTCAGCAGCAACAACGGGAGCAGCTGAGGGGTAATCAGGGGCAGACTGACAACTCATGGGGCCTCTGGGCAATAGGGGATCATGGGGCCTTGCCCAAACTGTCAAAAAAACCTTTGAAAAAGGTACCAGGGGCATCTCATGGGGCCCCCTACTGACCCCAGGCCCTCGGGCAGTGCCCGAGTTTCCAAATGGTCAGTCCACCCCGTGGGTAATACAAACGTGGCTCAACCACAGAGTTTTCTGGCCCTCAATCACAAGTGTAAACAAGCCCTTAAATGTATTTTTCATATGATTTTCACATTTATTGTTGTTTCTATATTTATATGATTTTCATAGCTTGTTGTTTCTAAGTGAAAAGATATTTAGTTGACTAAATACTGTGTATCATAAACAACTGTCATATTTTTTAATTTAGAATTTACTGTATTTAGACTTTTTAATCATCCTTTGTTACGTTTCAGCACATTGAGTATAGCCTCTATGCAGCCACATCCTGTCTACATGACAGCATACCAGCAGCAGCGTCCGCATAACGACTTATAGTCTACCCTGGAAGCCCATGTAAAAACACAGGATAGGAATTGAGAGACAGGGACAGTGTTGTTATCATATAACAGCAAGTGCCTTAACAAGGATGTTCATGGCAGGATCCCAGGGTATTATTTTATGAAAGTTGCATATTAAAGACAATTAAACTTACTTTCTTTATCATATATCACAGGAAACAGGGCATCTTCATATTCATGACTATGGGTTATGCTGCCACCTTCATGTGACACTGACCAAAAAAGGCAGACTTCTCCACCCAGGTATAACGGCCCATAGCACAGCTTATCCTCAGTTTTGTACTAGTATCCTTAGGTGATAAATGTGTCTGTGCAGTCTCTCTAAAGATTTTCTTGTGAGCAGTGCAAGGGAAGGGAAGGGCTTTATCTGGACTTATCAACTATATCCCCATGGCCCAAATGGACAGTACCCAGATATTTGTGGAAGCACAGGGATGGCCTGTAATGTAGTCACAGGTACCTGTTATCTGGTGAGTGCTGAAAGGGTGCTTTTCAGATCAAGGACATTGATCCCACAAGGGGGAGTATTGTCCCCAAAGGCCCTTTGGACCGGCTCTCAATTGTGATGCTTGAAGATTGGGTTTGGCACTGCAGCCTGGATCAGTAAGTGATTGTGTGAAGTCCTCCATTTTTGAAGTGTTTTCTTAACTGCTGGACAGTGTGCTGCTGTGGGTGACGGTAGCTGTCCAGGGTTGCCTGTTGGGCACATGACGCTAGTTCATCAATACTCTGCTGTGGTAGTGTTGAGCTTTGCATACTGTCCATGTGTAGCCGGATGGCGTACATGACGCACAGGTGTGTCTGCACATGCAGGGATGCCATATTGGATTACTCTGGTGGCTGTTACACATGCAAGGCTTTACCTGGGTCTTCTAGGTTCAGAAGAAGCCCCGTTCCATCCAACTGGCGGCAATGACACAGCAGTAGCAGAGGCAGTTCCAGTGCTTACCTGTGCGTATTCAGGAAACTTCCAGTTGGGCTTGCTTGCCACTCAGTGTCTTGTCACTATGCAGACACTCTCTCAGCTAGGCGGCCACTGCCATTCCTGGGGTAAAAGACCTGTTACCCTCAGCAAATCATTCTCTATTCTAGCTAAAACTAAAAACATAAAAACCGGCTATACATACAATTTATCCTTAAGTGTTTAGGAATAGCGGTACATATGTACTTTCTTTATATTGCTTAGGAGTAAAAATGTTTTTAAAAAAATATATTTTTGTAGTCTAGAAAATATGAAATGTTGCATGGTTTTGTTTTATTACACATGAATGAGTCAGACCCGTGACTTTTGACTTCTTTAACGGTTCAGTCCAACTCAACCAGGCAAGGCCAGCCTATAGGCATTCAGCTCCTACTCTGTTGTCTCTATAGGCAACCCATAGTGCGTTAGAATCTGCATGTATTACGTGTGTTTATTTTTCAAGAGCAAACAATTGTTTTTGACACAAAACAACCATAGTCTACCTTCAAATTATAATTTGAATTCCAAAATTCGACTAAGGTTGTGTGAAGGTAAGTACATAGGTACTTACCAAGTACAAATTTCTGTACTTAATGCCAACAATATGGAAGAAAATGGTGTTAAGCTGATGAACACAATCACACAGCATGCATACATATGATACAACCCCTCTTCTATATGCAGCATACTGGTAAATGTATTCACGGCCCGAAGGAATGGGAAAAAAGGATAAAGGGTCATTAATATTACACTTCATTAAAAGGTGACTGGTTAAAAAGGGGAATCTCATTAAGGGATAACAAAACCAAAGAACAAAACTGTAACATATTGCAGAAGTAATTAGATTTGATGCCTGCATATGTTTTCATTTTTAAGGCTGAGAGAACATTTTCAGCAAGTACAGAAACTCAGTATCCTTGTCACTTCCTGAAATAATTTAAACTGAAAGCACAATTCTGTCTTTCAGCACTAGTGACCCCTATTCTAATTCTAGCCACGAGACTACGTGCATGGAGTTTGCATGTCCTCCCTGTGCTTGAGTCGGTTTCGTTCCACACTCCAAAAGACATGCTGGTAGGTTAATTGGCTGCTGTCTAAATTAGCCCTAGTATGTGAATATGTATGTGAGGTAGAGACATTGGACTGTAAGGATGGACTGATGTAAATGTCCAGAATTTAAAGTTCTGTCAGCACTATATAATCATCTGAAATAAATAAAGAAAAAATAATTTTATTTTTCAGTAAACTACTAATCTCCTTATCCTCCAGGTAATAGAGAACAAAGGTGGACGTGTTTGTAGTCCAGTCTGGGTGACAACCAACACACATGAAGAAGTGACTGTAGACACCCAGGCACAAAAATGGGGATATTTATAAAGTTTGTGAATGTTTCGTTAACCAAACATTCAGTCGTTGTTAATCAATCACTGCATTTAAAACACATACACCTGAAGTAAATGTCAGATTAACTGCTTTATAAATATGCCACTAAATGTGTTATTCGCAAGATTCTCTTCATAAGGCCTAGTTTACTTCTGCAGTGGTCTCTGAAAAGCATTCCACAGTGGACTGCATTTCAGAAAACAGGACAGGTTCTGCTGACAGGCATTCAGAAGGTGATACTGCCGACTCCTGAATGCTTGTGTTTTTTTTTTTTTTTGACAGACCGGGTTTTTGAATGGGAACACTGCACCAGGACCACAAGCCTAATGTTTGGTTAGAGGTTGCGTTGTCGTCCATTCACTTCAAGGGGTCAAGTGCACTGGCGGTACTGCCTACTGAATGCAATATACATATTTCCCAACATTAGAACTTGAGAATGAGTAATACCTTGGCAGAGAACATGGTGGTTAAATGTGGGCATGGCTAAACTGCACTGGATATTTAGAGTGACATAAAGTAAAATGGCCAAGTATAGTCAAAAAACATAGTCAGTACACACTGCACACACATACTGTAGATCAGTAGTGGTCAACTTTAATATTATAGAAGGCCTCAAGTGTGGCCCTGACTTCTCCAGAGGGCCACACATAAGTGGCACATTTTCACACCTCAACTCACAAGAATGTAGGTCCTGCTGCATTTTTTGCAGTGTATTGCAATGCACACTGAAGACGTTGATGTGCAATAACCCCAAGTACTGGTGTCAGCAGACACAATAATAACCCCCAGCATTGGTGTCAGTGGATGCAATAACTTGCCCCCAGCATTGGTGTCAGTGGACACAGGGGTCGGAGTGTTTAATATACAGAGTGCAGGGCTCAGGAGTGCACTTGACGGCTACTACAGCACGGTTGTCCAGTCTAGGAAGAACGTCATATGACGGCCTCCCAGAACGTGCCCTCCCATGCGCCCCCAGCAGTGCACACCTGGCGATCTCCATGATCGCTGTGTCCTACGAACACAGCTGATTACGTGATGTGGTAAAGGGCCAATCACAGCAGCCTTTTACCACATGATCAGTCCAATGACACAGCATATCACCTGGTAAATACAGCTGCCGGTTATCGGCTGCACTTTCCTCACGCTGTCACAGCGCAAGGAAAGTACTGCTGATAACCGGCAATTGTCAGAGAACAGATCGGCACTGATCATCAGGGCACTGATCATCAGTGCCCAGCAGTGCCACCCACCAGTGCCCAGCAGTGCCACCTACCTGTGCCCAGCAGAGCCACCCACCTGTGCCCCTCAGTGCCTAGCAGTGTCACCCACCTGTCCCCCTCAGTGCCTAGCAGTGCACCCACCAGTGCCCCCATCAGTGCCACCCATCAGTGCCCATCAGTGCCAACAGTCAGTGTCACCCATCAGTGCTCCCATCAGTGCCACCTATCAGTGCAGCAGCATCAGTGCCTCCTATCAGTGTCGCCTGTCAGTGCCCATCAGTTCTGCCTATCTGTGCCACCTCATCAGTGCCTATCAGTGCTGCCTATTAGTGCAGCTCATCAATGCACATCAGTGAAGGAGAAAAATTACCTATTTGCAAAATTTTATAATAAAAACAAAGAAAAACTTTTTAAAAAACAATTTCCTAATTTATTTGTTTATAGCACACAAAAAATTAAACACCCAGTGGCGATTAAATACAACCAAAAAAAAGCTCTATGTGTGTGAAAAAAAATTACCCAAATTTCATATGGGTACAATATTGCATGACCGCGCAATTGTCATTCAAAGTGCGACAGTGCTGAAAGCTGAAAATTGGCCTTGACACAAAGGGGGTATAAGTGCCCGGTAGGCACGTGGTTAACATACAGAGTGCAGGGCTCAGGAGTGGGTAATGTACATAGTTCAGGGGTCAGGAGTGGGTAATGCATAGAATGCAAGGATCTGGACTATGTAATTAATGTACAGAGTGTAGTGGTTAGGAGGGGGTAACAGCAAAGGCAGTAAATGGGGGAATACAAAAATATCCCCCGCGACACATTCAGTGGCTGAATGCAACCCATTCCCCTGAATGGGGCCCCCTCACAACCATGTACAATGAACACAGTTTCAGCGAGGTCATGTGAGTTTTTAGGAATTTAATCACGTGATGAGGAAGCAATATAATGCTTCCTTGCTGCCTGACATATACCCTCTGCAAAGTGATTCACTGTGAATTGCTCTTCAGGGTGATATTAGCATACCCTAACCTACAGCAATATTGTCGCTCAGTTGTGTCACTCCAAACATGGTGGGGATTGAACAAGAG